TAGCTTTCACCAGAATAGGTGGAGAAAGTTGAACATTTAATCAAGGTCCTAATTTTAGACTTTAATTGTGCGTGCTCTTCTTTAAGAGAACTCCCCCACCCCTCCATCCGTCCTCCCTTCTTCCTGTTCTCATTTGTTTGCTAATGACACACGATTTCATTTTAATACCTGATTAGCCATTCATCAAATAATGAAGCCGTGGACCGGGTGATGACTACAGCACATGGGAGGGGGACGATCTCGTACAGTGAGTTTTTGATTATTATCTGCGTCCCTCAGGAGTGGAAAGACTCGTCACAAGAACACGTTCAGGGCTCAGATTTCATTTAAATGTGCAGTCAGTGGAAATGCAAATTTAAAATCATGTGCGTGTATCAAGTTGAACGTTGTTTAGCTTCATGTTGCTGAGAGCATTGAACTAGCTGCAAACCAAACGTACAAACAATAACCAAAATGGATTTTAGGAAATATCATCATTTTAAAAAAACTGAATATTTTGGATTCTTTGCACACTGACACTTTGTTTGAGGTTGAATTACTGATGCACAGTTAGAGGATTTATTTAGAGAACATTTAAATGTTGTTCATTATTTCAGTATACATCTCAGCGACCCAAGGCCGAGGCAGTACTACAGCTTGAATCAGCATGTGGTCGAATAACTTGTTAAAAAATAAAAGATTGAAAACAGAGCAAGAAAATATCTGGTGACTAACAAAAAGACCAACAGTTCAGCCTGCTTACATAAAACATGAGTGAGAGAAGTCAAGTTTGACTCTCTAGATACATCTGAGTCTAACATATCCAATTAGAGAGATGAAGATGAAGATTGTGATGATTAAAAAAACAGAACTTGAAGTGTAAATCAGTTGTTTTATATTCTGGGTGAAGTGTGGTTGAGTTCAGCAGCAACATGTTTTGATCTAAAATTCAACAACCACCCTGCTCCTTCTCTGTTACAGCGATGAAACAGGCTCATTGATGGTGTAGGATGTAGACCTGGTCATGACATGCTAAAATGACAGGTACGAATATTATTTCAAAAAAAGGAAAGAAATGTTCACTACATAAATCTGTATGATTGTAATACTGTATGTGTGTCTTAATATGTGGAAATATTCCTGTGAGGTAAACTTTGAGAGAGAACACATCATGAAGAAAGAAACCTTTCTACAGCCCAACAAAATGCTTTAATAATAGTTTAGTTTATGAGCTCGCTCAGTGGATGTTATGTCCAAGTCATGTTCAAATCTGTTTTGAGTCATCCAATTAAATTTTTTCCTAAATCTTCATAATTTAAACATTTTTTAAAAGTGTTTTTATGTATTTATTCTTTGGGGCCTTTTTTGCCTTTATTAGATATGACGGCTGAAGAGAGACAGGACATGTGGGGAGGAGGGAGTGGGGGGATGACATGCAGCAAAGGGCTGAGGTCGGATTCAGACCCACCACCACTGCGACGAGGACCACAGTCTCCGTATATGGGACACACAACATAACTGCTAGGCTTTCCGACGCCCCTTTACATTTATTTATTGACTTAATTCAGATGAAAACATTGCATCGCAATTTGAGAAATCTATAGTTTTATTGTAACTTTGTATGTGAGTTTGGAGATAAACTTCAGCAGTTCAGTGAAGCAGACGACAAGGCCTAACTAAACCTGTACACTTTATTTAGTTTACAGGGTAAGCTATGAAATAAACACTTTGCCAGTAAAACATGTTTGCACTTGATCTACACTAATAAGTCATAAAACATTTTGATATAATTTCTGTGACTTAAAAGCAGATGAGAAGCTGATGCATGCTGGTCCCAGTCATACCTCCTCTTTTCCCAGTGTGGTACGGTCTCATGAGGATCTGCAGGGCGGCGGGGTTGGTCATACTGGTCAGCAGCTGGGCTAGGTTGGGTTCTGGTAGCAGGCCTTTCCTGTTACTCAGAATCTGCACAGACAAAAAATACAAGTTAGAATAAGTGAGACTGTGAGTGTGTGTGTGTGTGTGTGTGTGTGTGTGTGTGTGTGTGTGTTTGATCTTCTTATTGGAAGTCCCTGATGGACACACTAATGATTACACCAGTTTACATCATCGGGATATGTCTGCACTGTCAGCAGAGCAGAGTTGATCTGAGAGACAAAAAAATACAAGAAAATAAGAGAGAGAGAGAGAGAGAGAGAGAAAGAGAGAGAGAGAGAGACAGAGAAAGAGAGAGAGAGAGAGAGAGAGAGAGAGAGAGAGAGAGAGAGAGAGAGTTAAGGAGCAGGAGGGTGAAGAGACGGGGAAATGTGACAAAAAAAAACCGAGGCATTTTGGAGGAAAGCAGAAGTAGAAACTTCAGGAAAAGTAGACGTGCACTCACTCGTCCATTTTCTGCACATTTTGCATGTTGACATCATGTGGAAAAAAACCTAAAAATGTTCTGTAAAAGTTGTTGCAGTCTGTCGTAATCTGGTGTGAGGTGTGAATAAATCACATTGCAAGTAAACACACAAACGAGTCCGCCTTCTAACAATGAAGTGCACCAACCGCGAGGTAAACAAAACCAGAGTTTTGAGCCCAAAAACATGGTTTTGATTAAATGTTTTTAAAATCAAAACATCATATTTATTGTCGAGTTCAGTAAAGAAATGTAAAAACTCCGTTTATACCTTTTTATAAAAAGTGTGTGGGTGTTGTAAATGAAAATAAACAACCCAACAAATGTCATCAGGTTGTGATGCAACTATTTCTAAAACCTGATACAATGAACAAGACACAATGAATGAGTTGAAATCAGGTTTACAAGCCAACACACATCAAAATCCTTTTGATTAAAATTGAGTCTCAGGAGGACTGTTTATGATTAAAAAAAAAGATAAACTGGTTTAGAGAGTTATAATACGTGTATTAGACAGATGAACTCTAACTCACAACAGACTCCATATTGGAAAGAAGATAAAACTCTGTAAAACATGGTATCCACTCTTCTACAAGTGCTGAAGCTCAACCTGTTAAATCTAAATTTAAAGGTGACATAAGGATTGTACGTCTTCAATCATGGTGAAGAATTGGTCCTGTTTAGATGATCACAGGCCATAGAGACAATGGGAAAGGTCATATCATATTAATAACTCTTTCCACAAGTGGAAGTGTACATACCTAGTGTTATTCTATTATTGTATTTTTTCTCCCTTTATTTAACTGATGTACGTATGTTTGATTTTTAACTTCTGGTTATTTTTGATAAGTATATTCCTGTTTCTTGAGCTGTTGTGACAAAAAATTTTCAATAAAGTTTTTTTTTTGTTTTTTTTTAAAGATTTATTTTTGGGCTTTTTTGTGCCTTTAATTGAGAGATGGGACATCTCAAGCCGTCCGCTTGGAAGACTACGGCCTCCATACATGGGGCGCACGCACTAACCACTGCTCCACCAGCGCCCCAATAAAGTTTATACTTATCTTTATTTTTATCTTTATCTGCAAACTACTCCCAGGGGGGAAAGAACGGTGCTAAAATAGTTAGCCAGGAGCTGGAATGCCAGATACGCGCAAAAAGGAAACAATATCAGCATAATTACATTGGAGGCATATGAATTTCTATGAATGGATGAATTACTTCTGATGGTCTCACTGCATAGCACACGGCGATTTAAAACAACATTAACAGGGTGGTGACATTTTCCTTCCCTTCTGCCTCGGAGCTACAGAGAAACTTCAGCTCAAGTCAACCTTACTTCCTCCTTGTCTCTTCCTGAAGAGAGAGCATTACTGACGAGGACGGAGCGGCTCTGACTCCAGGATGTCAGCAAGAGAGAGAGGAAGAGGACAGTCTGCTGCGCAAATTCAGTGTGTGTGTGTTTGTGTGGCACAGCAAGAGAAACTGATGAGAGTGTGTGTGTGTGTGTGTGTGTGTGTGTGTGTGTGTGTGATGGTGTTGCACAAGGCCAGTCGTCGCTGACGGCGTCTTTCAAGGAAAGAGTAAAGAGGAGGAGGAGGAGAAGTGCTCTCATTTCGTTTTCTGCTGGTAGAAAATGTCATCATGCATCAGTCTGTTTGGCTACTGGCACAAAATCCAGCCACACACCCACGCACACACACACACACACACACACACACACACACACACACACAGACACACAGTCGACAGGGAGGTAAGGAAGCCGTGAAGAGAAAGCGAGAAAGTGTTGCGCAACGACCAGGATGGAGGGAGAAGAAAGGAGGAGGGAGATGGAGGCCATCTGGTCCCTCTGCGTTCACACTCACATTCACTAACTGCAGAAATGACACAATCGCCTCAGAGGAGATCTGCAGCCAGGAGAAGGTCCTGATCTCTTTCTGAAGGTCTGATGTTTTGCTTTTACCAGCTGCTCACATTCACAGGAGCCTCTGGGCACAAATCTAACCTCAGAGTCTTCTTCCTCCTCCCCCACCGTATTCATCCACTGTGTTTATGTCCTCCTGCCTCCTCATGTCTTATCTTCCTTGGCTAATTTATTCAGAAACACATTTTTTTTCTCTAAATGTCTTCTCATAATCTTTGTCACAATTCAGGCTCTGAGCTGCTTTCTTTGCTTTTCAGCATCTATCTCGAGGCTACACGAGCGTCTTTGTGTGCACTTGATAAATCTAGAGCTCAAACAGCAGCTGGGAATAACATCACAGAGAAAACAGCTGGAGGATATATTCTAAAAAAAATAAAAAATAAATAAAAAATCAACAAGTGCCAATGGAGGTGTTTGAAATTTAAACATCACAACACGTTTAGACCAATGAACCAAGGTTTAACAGGACTGCAGTCTGAGTCATCCAAACATATACACTTCTGACTTTCAATTGTAATCCTCCATAAACTCAATTATGTTCTAAATGTTCATCATCAGATGAGGGTCAGACAGCATGCCGAATAGTTTTCCTTAGCCCAATGATGGGTAACTCATTAAGAAGCATAAACCTGCTATGCGTAGGAAAGTATTAATTTATTTTGACAGAGTCAATATTGCTTTATGTTGTTTCTCAGGCATCTAATTCTCAGGCATCAATTTAATTGACTAACCTCTTAAGTCACTAAGGACAGAAATGTCTGTGCCAAAAATGTTGTTTAAGAGATTTATGCAGAAAAAAGTAGAAAAAAATATTAATCTGTTCTATTTTTATAGCAGTTTTTTGTAAGTGGACATTTTAGTCCTTTTCCTCCTCTATTGATCTATTAAAAAAAAAATGTGCATTCAAAAATGTGTCAAGAGAGAGTCTTTCTTACAAAAAATGGTGTCATATGCTCTAACACAGACAAAATGATGACCAGATGAAGACGAAATAAATAAATAAATATCAGGTTTAGGTTGGATTAGATCGTGATCAACACTTTGGCATCTTGTATGGAAACCTCTGCCCTCAGTGTACTGATGGGGACAATGTGTTGAGTAGTGTAAAGTGCTTTAAGTGGTCAGAAGACTAGAGAGGTGCTACGTTAATGCAGTTCATAAATTATATACAATCCTGCTTTTGAAGGCTTTGTTCTGGAACACAGATTGGTTGTGCAGAAGAACTGGGAATAAACCAGAACAGGCAGATGAACTGAAGGGAAGCGATGATCGTTGTTTTGTTTTGTCTCCATTCTGTTCTTTTAAAAACATATATTACGTACAGTGTCCATTGTTGTAGTTTTTCCTTTTTTTTGTAGTAATTTTTGCCTCTACTACAGAAAACAATGCTACAGAAAATTAACTTTTTTTACATCTTACTCACAAGGAACTCAAAGTGCATTACACAGATTGGGCCACTACTGGTCTGTTTTTTTTTATTTATTGCAGTGCACCTTGAGTCGGAGTACTAAAAAATGACATGATTGGAGTTGTTATGTAACTCTGGATGGATCAATATCAACAATATACATTTGTGCATTACTTATATTTAGCATAAAGACAATTATAGGAGGTGAAAAAGCAAGCGGACAGTGAGGTAGAAAGAGTCCCACAAATGGACATTAAGGTCTCATAACAAATTTCAGAAAATTCACTCATTCACTGACGTACCTACATAAACTTTTTTTGGTATTGTTTTTTTTTTTTAACACAAGCATTTCCACTCATCTTGAAATGTGTACTTCAAATCAATCTAAATGTCGTACCTGGAAGTTGTTAAATATGAATCTGTGTAGATGAAAAAGTACTGTTTCCTCTCAGTTGTATTACCTTCATGTGTGTGTAAGTTTGCTTGTGTGTATTTTTTTTTTTTTTTTTTACAAGTGTCATACTGTGTCTCCGGCTGGGGGTTGGGTTTATTTCAGGCAGCAGGAGCTGGTGGAGGAGCCCAATCAGTCTATAGAACTATAATTATCCTGTCAGAGAGTCTCTGCTGGCACAGCGCTGTGGAGGAGGGATACCACAGCTACACACATGATTTCTACCAGGGGGGTCTAAAGCATGTGCAGCATGTCAAACTCCAGTTTATTTGAACACTGGGTGCAGTTATCAGATGTCAGTGGATTAAGAATTTACATGTTTACATGCTGTGTGTATGTTAGCCTGGAGAGTCCCATGTTTTGGTGCAACAGTGTCTGGATATTATGTTTTCTTCTACAGAGAATATTCATGTTTTTTCAAAATAATCCTGTGTCCTTAAATTGATGCATGTACTGCCCCTCATGAATTGGAAGCTCATGGAAGGTGTTCCTAAATAGCATAGAAAAAGACTCTTTAATGCCCTTATAAGGGCATGAGACTTTAGGGCTGTGTGCACACAGGATTGAAAAGATAAGCAGAGAGAGGTCGGCAATACCTTCTTTAATTGATTTAATCCATTTTTATTCATAGTTCTATGAATCACCAATGTTTGATACTGTGTACTTTGTGAAGCACTTTTAATGTATGTTTATTTTGTTTGATTGTGTGCATTCTGTAAAGCACTTTGTAACCTTGTTAAGATAAGTGCTATATAAATAAAGTTATTATTATTATTATTATTATATAAATAAAGCTATTATTATCTAAATTTAAACTTCAATACTCCAAATGTAAATGAATAATCAGAAGTGGATATCAATTATTAACCACAAACAGATATCGTTTATTTAGAGAATCATCATCATCATCATCATCAGAAAAGGAGGCACACCAAACAATTAAAGGAAAATCGTTGATGTTGCAATAAAATGTTTCCCATTATTTAAATGTTGTGCTTTGTGTTTAATTTAAAAATATGAATCTTTACATTTTGCAGTCCTGTGTGTACTGAACAAAGCAGCTATAAGATCCAGGAAAGCTAATATCGGTAGCCAAAGATAAAATCTTGCTAAATTGAAAATGGGTGGAATTACTGATTGTTTTTTTTTTGCATCATTGCCAGCCATCGTCTGAACAATTAAAAATATGTACGCTGAATTCATCAGAGCATGTCAGATAGGAGACAAAAGTAGAAATAGATGTAAAAGTCTTATCACAATAAAAACATAATCTTGATTGTGGAAAAGGTGAGTCGAGTGAATGAGATGATGGTGAGTAAAAGTTGATGAAAATCAAACGTCTTGAAGTGCACATATACTGCATTCAAATAATACACCTCGTAAAAAGCATATCTTATGTCAGACAACCACAAAGTGTGTAGATTATTTAACCCTATTAGGGGTTCACAGTGTAACTTTCTTCCCTTCCTGTATGCATGCTGGTTCGTGCCGCTCTTTTGGCGTCGTACTCACCATACCCTGGGCAGCGATGAGTGCAGCCAGGGTGCTTCTCCCTGAGGTCCCGGGGCTGCAGAGTGACAGACGAACCTCCTGTCCTCCCACCAGCGTTCTGTCCATTTCCATCAGCACAGCCTCCGCCTGTTCCGAACTCTCATACTCCACGACGCCAAAGCCTCGGACCGGGCTGCCCTCGTCCTGAGCAAGCTGGAAGATGGATACGAAAAAAAAAGATTTTGAGGACTTTGATTTTAATTTAAAGTGACAACTTAAGACATTTTCTGAAAAGGTTTTTTCTTGAATGTGCACATTGGCAGATTAAGGCCTCTTTTCGTTTTCAAAATCTGGATCTGCATTCAGACGTTAATGTTTTGATAACAACCGCCATGCACACTGGTCTACAAAAACAAAATCAACATGTTGTAGTATACATGCTGGACCAGGAGTTGGCGCTGTGACTTCCTAATAAAACATAAAAATACTCTTCCATCTACAGAGCAGTGAGGTGTAAACATCCAGAAATGGCTGACAGTTTTTGCAGGTCTAAAGATCTTTTTGGTACAGTATACGTTGATTTTGGCGACCCCTGTGGACAAAGCCGTTCTTTCTGTCATTTTGATGATATTGTTCTGCACATGCCTAAAAAAAACCTCATCCTGGTTTCTTTTAACGGCCGGTCATATCACTTAATTCTTTCCAGTGGAAAAAGTCAACAAAAGTTATTTAGGCAGCATGCTGTTTAAGGCTTTATATGTGATTTTTTTTGATCCAGCAGATGTCGCCCCTTGAGCACCAGCATGAAACCAAAACAATTCACGCTGCATTGTTGTGTTAGCATGCTAATGCTAGCGATCTTTATTATGCTCGTATCTTCACCTGATGTGTTTCAAATACATGGGCCAGACGTGGCCATCGAACAGGCTGGGGGGGGGTGTGGCACAGTGTAGTTCCTAGAGCACCTCACACTGCATGTAAATTTACCTGAAATGAGCGTGATCTAGAAACACAGTTAAGCAGTGAGTACAGTATGTTATGACTCACAGAGTTATTTTCAGAGGATATACTTTATTTCTATTATATTTAAGGGTGAAAAATCACATATAAAGACTTTAAAGCCTCATCTGACACCCAGTGCAGCAGTTTCAGACATCAAAAAATTACATTATATTAAACTATATATTGATAATAAATCTTGTTGCTGATGGCCTTGTTTGCTTTTACAGTGGCATAAGTATTCATTTCAGTCTTTTTGATAACTAGTTAGAAACTCTCACAGGAGTTCAGTTAAAGCAGGGGTGTCAAAGTTCTATTGGGTCGGGGGCGGATTTGTTCAAATGAGACCTCAAGTGGGCCGGATTTATTTAGCAGACATCACTATAACTCAACACATAGGCTGATGTATGATTAAAACAAATAAAGCTCCGTGAGGAGTGCTACTAAGTAAACTCAGTTAAATGAAATGAGTCTGGCAGTCCGTTCTTCTCCGTGTCCGCACTATCGTGATCTAACTCTGTCACTGACTTTTTATGCGCCATGAATCTGTGCCATCTCGCAATTCGAGAAAGCATTTTAGCGCTGCTCCGGGGTTAAACCAGCGGACCTCTGTATGATCGGACAGCCTGTGCATGACATTGTTTTTGGATAAGAATGAAATGTTCAGTAATAGTTATATTTTTACAGTCTGATTAAAGCTGGTGATAAAGGTACAACAGCAGGCTACTGCATTTAGAAGTGATGTCACGCTGAAACTTTTAGGTGATCAACACGTTCACCTCTGGATGACCTAAAAATGAACCATCTGTAATTAAAATCAGTTATTATTCATTTTAATTTACTGTTTTTACAATAACCAGAGGTAAAACTAGTTGGGAGATGCATCGGGCTCAACGCTGCTGTCCACAGCCTACACTTAGTCTGGATGTGAGGAGACGGTCTGGGCCGTTACGCAGGACAGAGAGGATTGTTTTTATTTGCACGAGCTGCTCTTTGTGGCTCACTCCATAGGAAGCTTTGTTATCAGTGAAGACAGGAGAAACTGGTAAGAAGTGTGGACAGAACTGAAGACTGTCAGGATGAGCGCTGATTAAGTCCCGTAGCTTTGATACGATTCTGGCAACTTGTGAGCAAATAAAACTCACAAATAAAACCGTTTAATTAATATTCGTATCATGATATCAACCTTTACGTTGCTCATTATAGGTTTTAATTTGTCATTTGTCGGGCCGGATAGGGCCCGTGGGCCGTATGTCTGACATCCCTGAGTTAAAGGGTTAAAGTGAACACTTTTACAGAGTAAACTCGATTAAAACACATTATAAATCAATGACCTGCAACAAGCATGGTGAAATATTGATTCAGTGTTCCATCAGTTACAAAATAAAATGTTAAAAGATCATAATTCAGATATTTTAAAACATTTAAACACAGCTATAACAGTGAAGTAATTGGTGCCCTGCGGTCCTTTTGAACCGCAGGGCACCAAAGACTTCTGTTTATACAACTAATACGATTATTTATGCTTCTGCAACAGCTCGACTTGGTGAACAGTTAAAGCATGCACTGCTTCACAGCTGCAATTTATTTTCTTCCCATAATTACTATGGGAAGGAAAAATGGTCCCTACAAGACACCATGGATGGTATGTTCATGTCTCTATCAAGGAACAGTGATAGTTTCTATGCATGAAGCTGGATATAAGAGCAATTTATATTGTTTTATTCAAAGCCAGAACACAGTCGACACTGCAACGCTGGCAACAATTGAGAAGTCGGTGGTTTAACTCTGAAGGCCAACGATGGCAGTCGGCGTAATGAAAATACTGTCTCACCCAATCTTTAGGTCAAGCAAGGTTTATTGTTCTGAACCGTAAATAACTCGTCAGAACCAAACGAGAACGCTTTGTGGAAATGGGGCTTAAGTGACTAAGGGCACATGCACGCTTTATGTTATTATGAAGCGTGCTCAGTTTACAAACAGGCGGACTCGAGAGATTCTGCATTGGCTTCAATTTTCAACAGCAAAAGCCGGCGCTTAATTCAAACACACACACAACCTAACAAACATAAAAAACAAACAAAAAATCCCATGGACTCTCAATGAGTGTGAGAGAAACAAAAAGAGACCGGATTTAGAACAAATCTCTTTGTACCACTTTTTTTGCCTTTGTCTGGTCGAACATGGAGATTTAAAGGAAGAATTTCCATTTTGTTTTAACGGTCGCCGGTCAATACAAACAATGCTCTCCAGGCCAGACGGCGCGAGTGATGACTGAATGAGTAGACTTTTCTGTCAGGAGGGTTCAGTCATTTCCACTGTGTGCGGAGCAGCTAAATAATGCAAGCAAGCTAATAGCTTTATGCTAATGGGTGATATTGGATCATGAAAATAGCTAAAAGCTAATGGCTCAATGTTAAAACACACCACTTGACCTATTGGTGGTGGCTGAGCTCAATTAAAAAATACATGATGGGTGCTTTAATTTATTTAAACAAGATGTGTCCAATATGTGAGACTGTTTCAAATATCTGGAACACATTCATCAAGTGAACTTTTCAGTTTATATAAATACTAAAAAGATGTATCTTACTATTTAAATGACACATTTTAGAAACTGTTGGAGAACAATCCAACAAAAGCCATACACTTGCTATCATTAGATTAAATAAAGTCATCATGCTGCAACCAGAATAATAATATGTTCATTATTCTATCACATGAAAACTTTCACATGATTTCAAAATAAACTCGTCTTTTGCAGACATTTTCCCATTTTTTTTTACTGTCATTGCCCTCCCGGACACTAGGGGCAGCACCTGAGTTTATTACCCAAAAGGTAAAATCAAACTCATCTCATTCTCCTGGGAAGCAACGCAAATGTTGGACTTCATTTTTTTAAAGGTCTCATATCTCACAAATGTTCTTTCACATGGATGGCATTTTTCATGACAGACGCACCTGAAATGAATGAACGCTGTTTTAAACAGAGCCGGTTCAAATGCTCGTCTACATCTCAGAAAAAGAAAAAAAAAAACATGAATCAAAATGGAAAATTTGCTTTCTTTGGTTATGTAACATTGTTTTACCATTATTTCACTCCAAGGAGGCTGGATGTTTCTATTTCATACCATTGGTCTAGTAACACTTTGTTATTATTCTCCTTTTTTAAATCTTCAACTTAGGAGATAGAAAAGAGTCTTTTATTTACTATAACTCACATTCTTCAGCTCTGAAACGTTCTGCAAAATGAGATTATCTGTCCTGTTACATTTTTCATTTTTGAAGCTTTTTCACATTGATTTGAAAAATAATTTATGACAAAAAACAAAAAACTGTACTTGTACTGTGCTGAGTGATGACTGTTAGCATCAGCGCTCAATCAAGTTGCCCTCTCCCCCCTCCTCCACCCTCCCTCCCTCCACCCATTCTTTCTCTCTTTCGCCTCCTGCTCCTTCTGGTCTGAACAGAGGATGGATGGATGGATGGATGGATGGATGGATAGATGGATGGATGGATGGATGGATGGATGGATGGATGGATGGACGGAGGAGTAAGTCGATAGGCTATTATCATCAGCATACATTAAGCAAACTGTATGGAAATGACCTGAAGCACTCTACCTCTTGAGATATGGATAGATGGATGGATGGATGGAAGAAGGAAGGAGAGTGGGAGTGAAGAGAGGATGGAGAGAAAAAGAGAGGAGGAGGAGGAAAGAGGAGAGGAGAAGAAAAACATTAGTGACTGATAAAGTGAGAGCGACCAAAAAGCCGGAAAAGACGGGAGGGGAAAACAGATGAAAAACTTGCTAATCATTATTTGTGTGTGTGTGTGTGTGTGTGTGTGTGTGTGTGTGTGTGTGTGTGTGTGTGTGAGAAAAAATGAGGAACAAACATTATATATTAAATTCAAATTAGATTTTGTGCAAATGGTATTCAAACTATCATCAACTCTGTGTTTGTGTGACTGTGTGAGTAATGATGTGAAGACGGAGTAGAGCTTCTCTCCTCTCACACTGCATCACATATTCAATCGTTTGTCAAACCTGCACAAAATCATGCAAATTTAACAAATGCATGGGAGAAATCTACAGTACACATGTTCTTTGGTTGTCTTCAAGTGTTTCTAAGTGAAAAAATACAGACATTTTGAAAGAGTCTTCTTCAAACTATTATCAGGGTTTGAGGAAGGAACCATATGGCAGCTGATAAAGGCATATTCTCAGTTCTACAAACGCGATGAAGATA